TCGACGTTGGTTCCTAAACCTCACTCTGAGATGCACATTAATGTGTAGGCATATTTATAACGCTGTGCAACATTACATAATTTAATTCTCACAATGTCTCGCAATATTTTAGACCAACTGGTAATTTCCCCAAAGGAGGTTTCGGTGGAAATGTCTAAACTCCCTCAGAGCATCAAGGTGATCTCAGCATGTATGTCACCTGAGAATCAGTCGCTTCTTGCGGGGGAGACAGTCAACGCAGTTCGAAAGGCCACATCCCAAGCAACTGTCAAACACCTAACAGAGGATTTGAAAGCGTTTGCTGAAATGCGCTTAGGAGGATGTTGGCAAGTGATGGTCGTCGAGGGATCCTATTGGATTACGCAGACATTTTTACCCAATATGTCATTCCAGTTCTCCCTGAATGATCAAGCGTACTTGTTCTGGCAAACTTCCGAAGTGCAGCCCGAGTCAAGGTTCAATAATCCGATTTAATTTGTTTGTCTGCACATGTTTATCTGTTAAGATTTTTCCAATATAATGCTTGATTTTTTTCCAACACTTTTTACCTGTATATTTGTCTGAACAACTCATGGTACCGTGTACTAGAATAAATCGCATGCCGGTTTTGTGCGTATCATCTAATTGATATCGCTTCCCATATGCTCAGTTCAAGGTGAAACCTTCGTGTATCTTTTATCCAAACGACCGACCAAATGCCTGCAGTATGACCCTTTTTGAGAGTCGTTTCTCCGTGGTGTTCCGATCTAGATATTTACTTATCAAGGATCAGATAGTTTGACGTTCTGTGGGATTCGGAACAGTTTGGAGTGTAGTTAGTAGCATGGCACAAAAACAGTCAAACTCTGCACGCAGGTCTTTCGTTTGAATAATTTGGATACGCTGGTTACCATTGGCCCTTATATTTGTCGGCTTAAGTTCATTTACCAGAAACATTTCCATAAGTAACCCAAGGACGGGTTCTTCCTTAGTTGTTTGCACGTTGCTGACAACTGTTGGAGGAGCATTTCCTGAATATTATAAAACTTAGTGAATAGTCATATTAGACTTTGAAGACCTAATTGACACTTCGGAGCACGTGCTTGGTTTAAATAACAAGTGATGTTCTAAGGATCAGCTGACAGATATTGCTTTTAGTACAAATCTGAAGGGATAGGATTACGCACATCTGTTGGGCGGCACTGCTGAATTTTTAGTCGGCTCCATAGCTTCACTATTTGATAGCGGCGAACAGGGTACCTAGAAGACCATGAGTCAGTTCTGCAGACCCTTAGCTTCCGGCCCAATGTACAGACACATAGAGAGTGGCCCTCAAAAGGTGGACTCTTCCTTGAGAAGAACGGCTTTTTTAATTCAAAAATTCCCCTTATGGAAATCGTATTGTTCCACAAGAATAGGTATTGTTGTATGCTCTGAAACAACGGGTACCACCTTTAACTTATTTTTCCTTCACATAGCACTCTGAGTTCACCCCTAGGAGGCCAAAAGTTTGGAAATATAGTTATATAGACGGTCACGATCCTGACTATACATTGTTTTATCAAACAAATATGGATTGGATACCCGTAACTGATTCAGATATCTATGGAGTGATATTAATCATGATGTTAGGCCGTATCTAATTCCGCGACCACTTAAGGCATGTCAAGAGGGATTAGAGTGAGTGAATCGGGCAAAATAATAGTCAGCCAGCCCTCAAAATGCTGGGTGTATGAGGTGAGTTTTACTGAAGAATCATAAATTAATAAAAAGTAGCCAAAACGGCTGAATTTCCACTATTTGCCGACAGTTTGATACTACGTTTAAAAATGATATTCCGCGGATGAGATAACTATTCCTCAAACATAGCCGAGATACAGTGGTTGATCTCTGAGGAAACCACGACTCGCAATGCAAGGATTATTGGGTTCATCAGATAATAAACCCAATAAAGTCACGGCCAAGCCTGGAGGCAAAATTCTAATCACAAATGCCTACAGTACCACCGGTGAAAGGAAGAAGGCCTTCGCTGTTGAGTAATTTATTCGGAAATGCCAACTGACCGGTTACAGACCATTGAACAAGGAAGCAAAACTCTAATCTGCATCTTAGTTACAAAACCCGGACACAGATCTTCTCCCGAACGAGTCATCCTGGAGATTCATTGCCTCCAACCATTCGTCGTTCAAATAAAAGCAAATATTACAAAGTGGCCCCGCGAATTCCGCAACAGAATTCCCTTTTTCAGTCGACGCAAAGCGAAATTCTACGTACAACACATACTACTCGCGTGCCTCCCGATCAGTGGTATCACCGTTACACCTGATCTAGTGACTCACAATTGGAACCGAATAGCGCCTCATCCAAATATCTAAAGCTATATATTGTTCCCGAGTAGTAAGTGTACGAATAAAGCTCAAACAAATCGAGAAAAATGTGCTTTCTTCGGCCGCTGGCTGCACAAACTTATGTGGAACGTCGAAAAAATTTATAAAATAATTTATTAGAAACAGCAACCAATATTTTCAATAGGAAACCTGATTAGATTTATAAGCCGTTTGGACCACATGCATCAAGCTGTGTTGGTGACTGTATGAACATACGACCAATTAGTTTTTGGTTACTGACAAATTTGATAGTAGCCAGCGACCGAAACGTGCTTCCGGCTATGTGTAACCGCTCGCAAAGATAAGCGTAGGTGCAGAGCTTCCATACAATTAGTAAAAATAACATCGTACTGAGTGAAACGGAAGACGCGGAATGGAGACAGCGTAAATAAGGCCACTTTCCCTAGAAAAGCCTATCAGAATGCCCTCAGTCTAGAGCAGCAGTGAAACAAACAACTCTAAGAAACATTCCGTAGTAAGATGCCACCAATTGCTTGATACTAGAACTTTAGCTAGTTGGCCCGCATGGGATTTCACAACAGGTTTGCTGCTTCAATTGTCCGTACAAACGTATTGTATTGGTCTCAAATATGTACAAATCGGATCAAGTGGACTCCGGCCAGGTAGACGTGCTCATTTGGGTTTCGTGGCGCTTTGCCATTTCATGTACCCCAACATCCCTGCAACAAGTGTTTGGACTAGAAAACAACACGGCCGTTGAACTTGGATAGTGTCTGTCCCAAGCATCATAAAATGATAAACTTCATTTGCTGCTCTAGCACATGAACAAAATTATTCGTCGCTGAGTGGTGTTTGGAAGAAAAGTGACTCGAGCATAACTCCGGCCAGAATCAGATATGCAGTTGATTATTGACCCTTAACCAGTCATTGCTGGGACGCTCGAGCTTAGTATCAATTTCAGGGACGACTAGATGTCTGAAGGCTTAACCTACGACTCCGCGTCAAAAAAAACTTCGAAGACCAGTAAACTTGAGCTGATCTGAAAGAAATTCCAGTCCCACAAACATGTCTAAAATTGAATTCATTCACTTGATTCTGTGACACGTTGACCCATGTACTTCCAATTTCTATTTCTTATTTGAACATTATGCATTCGAGATATTCGCAACGCATTTACACGTGACTTTTGATGTATAAATTTGTGGTTTGCTGTTATTTATTTATTTATTATGTATTTATTATCTTTTATCTTTTATTTTATTTATTATTATTATAGAACGAAACACACAAAACAAGATTTATTCGCAGCCTATGTTCTTCCCAAGCCTAAAAGGCTGCGTTTCAAAAACCAAACAATACCCTCACACTCGCACTACACACAAATTCATCGATATCCAAAAAATTCTCTTGCGATCCCTTAGAAAATGTCTGTTGTCTAATACTGCTGATGACCTCAAAGTGGTCCCAGCGAGTCTTATCACTGGATTACGTAGTTTCCGAGGTATCTTAACTGATAAAACTATCTCGTGCTTCTTTGTCTGAGGCCTTAAATTAGCAAAGAGGGCTGAAACTTCTCAAATAGCAAAGGGCAACTGGAATGTGCACAGTTCAAGATCCACATCAACGGTCATCAAAAATCCACTGTTTATACATTTCCATACAAAACATACATACAAGAATCTCCTAAAGCAACACGTCTGACATCACTCCGGCTTCCATAAATTTCCTTCCTCCTGCTGACTGAAGATGCAATAACGGCCGGCTGTGATTTGACAAAACATACATGCAAGAATCTCCTAAAGCAACACCTCTGACATCACTCCGGCTTCCGTAAATTTCCTTCCTGCTGCTGAGTGAAGATGCAATAACGGCCGGCTGTGATTTATATCAAGAAGAAAGTGGGCTGATCGGCGACGTCTCCGAGCTTGGCACTTGGATTGCAATCGTTCCATCACCAATCGAGGCCACGTTGGCAGTGTGGGTCAAGTCGATTGATGATGGGACGTTTGCAATCCAGCTGCCAAGCTCGGCGAACAGACCAGCAACCAAGCAGCGCACTCGAGCTACCTATATTCCACCGTCGAGAATATTCTGAAATCTAATGGGTCTGTAAAAACCGAATCGGTGCAGCTTGGTAGCAATATCTGCCTGTTTATCATCAGCCAGATGTTGACAGAAATAAGTTAAACCACAATATACTGTTGACTGGTCGTTGTATCCAACTAAATGCTATGATCAACAAAATTTCTTTTTCCCACTGAAATCGTGTGAAGTTCGCCCAAATTCATTGATTAGCGCGGTGCATACAGCAAATCGCTGACACTAGTTTATATGCTACCTAGGAAATATCCATCGTGAGACATTATTTTGTATTATTTTCTAACAGGCATAAAAAACCATTCATAGTTGAGTAACTTTACAAGTATAGACAGTGGGTTCAGCCAAAGGTGAAATTCATTGATGTGATTTTTGATGGAAGAAATGTTTCGAAGTCATGTTTGAACAAGCCAGTTTAAATTGGTGCGAAGGGTTTGGGGACATTGTAGAGCAAAGCTTGTGCAAGCACAAACGCTGAGAGAATGAATAGAGACAGTAACGCTCAAAAACGGAACAAAGGGCAGATATGTTGTAACTCAGTGTACAGAGCCACTAATGTGGTAAAACTATGACCTATGTGTCGGCAGGTGTGCGCCATATGAGAAAAATGTGATCAAACAGGCGAAACTGGAAAGAGGGTTCAGCAATATGGGAAAAGTGCATCCAGAATGACCCTTTCGTAATGACCACCTGCCAACACCGCTCGTATTGTTCGTCCAAATGCACTTTCAAACGTCTGGCCACTTCGCTCATTGACAAGCCCTCGGGGTCTTTCATGAGTGCACGAGCCTCGTTGCTAATATTGATTCGACTGCCGAGGGGCATGCTGGATGCTAGTTCTTCCACGTCCGGTCCAAGACGAAACTGTCCTTCGTTTGTTGCTATTGTAGCCCGACGTTCGTCTAGTCTTTTGCAGAATAAAAGTAACTACAATTTAATTTTCGTGATTGGCACACAGGAATGATTAGTCTAGATTTCAGTTATCTTGAAATGTTAATTAGTTTGCCTTAGAGGGTGAATACCAGCCAAACATTCAGTTGACTATTAACCGCAGCAACAATTTAGTGATAATTTTAAATGCTATCTGATTACAGCGCCGCGTAAGAAATAGTTTTTGGAGTGAGTATACCCATAAATTCTAAATTATTTCTGCTGCCAAGGTGATTAAGCCGCAATCCATTCACGATTCAAATTTGTTCGGATATCTCATCGGCCATCAAACGCCGCCATAGGTCGACGACTATGTTGCCCTGGTACGTTCCCATGGCCGTCATCAAGGGTTCTCACTTAAGCTGGTTTGAAGTCACCATGGATAACAAACTATCTCGAGGACCCGTCACTGCGACATGGATCGATTTTTATCTATCCCCTGTTGACTTACTATGTTTCGCTTCAAAACAGTTGTTTTGCATGTCGCAGCAAGCGCTACCGAGAGAGTGGAGTGGTAACCCAGTTACAGTGTGACGGAAGAGTTTTCCAGTAATGCCATTAGGAATAGCCCTTCAGTATGAATTTAGAGTGTAAATTCCCTGTAAGCTATCAGTTTACGGCAGAGGAATGCACCAGTCCTTGAAACAATAATATCAATTTAGGTTCACAGAAAGTGGATGTGCTGGAGAAAATCCATCGAAACTCACGAACGATGAAGATCCGTACAAATCTTCATTAGTATAGAAGACAACGATCTTCTTGCTGGCGAAGGTATTATATGGCATGCCAGGTAACACTGTCTAATCCCTCGAATACGTGCAGATAACAAGACCAAGTCAGGGTATAAATTATGATGTGGGTTTACATTTTGAGGGAACACAAGGACTCAGCACTATTGCTTCACTAAATACAAGCCACCCCCACTTGAGGAGCACTATCGAACGACACAGATCTGCGTGTACCTAAGTTCAGGAGCGAACAGTGTCTGTTTCTCAAATCCTATCGTATGAGTCTCACGGTTTCTGGTATCTGTGTTTCATTCTTTTAGATGCGCGCAATAATAAAATAAAAAAATCTGAATCATGTTCCTAATGTTTGGTTCCAGCACCCGGCTCATTTACTGAACATGGTTGTGGCACTTGAAGTCAAGCTTTCCCCCAGTAGCAAACTCCGGGACGAGGAGTCCAAAGTATTTGGATACACTACAATCTTAACAGTAAAATAAAGATCCATGAAATCTCAAATTACAATTGAATTTTCACGCATGAACAAGCAGATCATCTTCACATAACAGACTTACACCTCATGCACCCTGAGTCCCAGAACGTCACAAAACTTCTCAAGAGTGATATTTCCGTCTTCGTCGGCGTCAAAAAGTTTACGCCAACGCTGAAACCAAATGTCACACAGCTTTTGACAAAAGCAACCTACTTAGCTTGGAGAATGGTTAGTGGAACGTGCTACTCAAAACAGCTAGATGGTCCAACGCAAATCAGGGGGTTTGGAAGAATAACTTAACAAACCCAGAAACCAAATGACAGCTTTTGACAAAAGCAACCTACTTAGCTTGGAGAATGGTTAGTGGAACGTGCTACTCAAAACAGCTAGATGGTCCAACCAACGTCAGGGGGTTTGGAAGAATAACTTAACAAACCCTAGTCTTTATATATATATATATATA